TAGATTTTCAGTACAAATCGGCAATTTCATACTTTAACCCCTATTATGAATCATGATTAGATGTCCAATATGTAAACAAAGGGGACCGAGCAAAAAACCACTTTTTAAATGGTAGTTTCCTATTTTTGACGTTAATAAACATTTAGAACTCTTTTGAAGCTGTAATCTTATGAAACTTAGAATAATTCACACTTTGCAATATACAGAGTGTTCTTTTTTTAATTGGAAAACGATATGGGAAAATCCGAAACCACAGAAGATACAAGGAAACTGCCTTAGGAAGCATTAAGTTTGTTTTGTGAAAATTTTGGCATAATTAATTTTTTGGTCAAGTGTGAGTTGTCCATTTATTTTTATGCATAACTCACGGATTTATTATAATATATAATCGTTAGTGTTACTATGTTAGCGTATACTGTCACTTATTTTTGTTTAATACACACAACAAAAACTAATTAAGGTAATAAATAAGTTTATAACACTGGTAACACAATCAAAAACACCAAAACAATAAATAACGAGATCAAAAACTTTTTTTGTGCCGTCATTTTGTCGCCAGTTTCTCGAACTTGAATTATTTTTCTCCGTGTTGCGTTTGTTAAATTATGGCATGAAGTTGTTAAAACTTTTGTTTATTGTTGATGTTTTGTTATAGATAATTAAAATTGTAAAAAATGTGAACCTCCTCCTTTTCCAATTTTTTTTTTATAATACCCAGTGAATCCGCTGAAAATAGAAGGTTTATCACACCTGCATTCACACTTTGACAATGTAATTTCTTTGTTTACAATTTGAACATCTTATGATTTATACTATAGAGCACACATACCATGCAAAATTTCATTCATGTGCTGTATTAAGAAATATAAACAACTTCTACTACACAAAGCTCTTGGAGAACGCGATTAAAAGAATTTGATATTATATAATATAGCATTTTGGTCGAATGGAATTTTGCGTCTCTTAAGTTTCTATTTTACGGTGGTCTGGGAGAAATTCATACACTGTAATAAGGCATTGTATACATTATATACTGATATACTTTACTGTTTTAAAATGTCAAAGTATTTTTTTATGTTTATAAAAAATATTCATCCATTCTTAAATTTGTATGATGTACCTAACTGTTTATTTTCGAGGAACGCATGTTTTTTTAATCTGTGCCTTATAATTGGTGTTCCTAAATATTTTACCTTCATGATTATGTTGTTTTTGGCGTGTGTGAGACTGAGTATGTTAAGGTTTTGTGTGTGCTGTTAAACATTATCAGTGTGGACTATGTACTCCTACTCCTGTAGACAAAGTCAGCATCTGCTGACGTGTAAAAAAACTGCATCGGCAACAACCGTGCCTTAGTCCCATTTAACTTGTTTGTTTTATTGTTGATTTATATTACCTTTTTTATAGTAAAACAGTTTTTAAATGATAAATTCGCAAAAAGTTTTCCCCTTTGGTACACATTGAAAATGAAACCATTTTTTCCGAATCTAAATCGCTTTCGGATTGAAAATGATAAATTATTGTACATTTTAGCGGCGACGAAACCAACCTGGAGAAGGTAGCTGTTGTATTCCGGAAGGGTTTGCTTAATTTTGTGAGACTTGATGAGCATGCTGAACACCATCCTAAGGCTTATATGTGTTTGGGTATGTATTATAAACTCAGACACGTACTTATTAATTATATATACCTATGGTATTTGAATTAATATTATAAATGATTTTATAAAGAGCAACTCCTGGAGTTTCTTACTCATTCTTCTCAGGGGAAACTGCCTAACGAATGAGTAATAGCGTTTGTTCAATGTGTAATTTACTTACCTATAAAATAAAGATTATTTGAAATTGGACCAGTTTAGTAATGACTGCTACATAATATTGACGAGTTACATTCTGATCCTCGCCTTTTTTTTTGGAAATACATTCTATTTATTGAGATTATTTGTGAAATGACTCCACTAGTTTTGTTATGATTATGAACATAAAGAAAAATTTTCGTCGACCCACTGCGGTGAGAAGGTTATTTAAAAATCTCTCACTAGATGTCACTAGCGGCGACGAATGCCGAAAGTCTGTACAAAGATCTATAACAAAAACACGTAGGAGAATTTACGACTCAGTAACTGGACCCGTGACTCAGTGGTTAGAGCAATGCTAAGGTGCAGCATGGATGTGGGTTCATGCATAGATATAGAAAAAAAGGGGAGATATGTAATGACGCCATGTAAGACGCCGTGTAGGCGCTAATCGCTGTCTAGCAGCACCGGTGGGCGCGGACGGTAACCGCTCCGTGAATTGTTAACTTTATTAACCTTAAACTGACGCTACTCAATGAGGGATTTCGTCGTACCTAATCGATAGTTAGAAACCATGTGGCTATTTTTAATATTAAAAAAATATTCCATTTTTCATACTATACTTACACTAGTACTGATGTATTATTAAATGAATATATTAATATAAATTATTATTATTTTCTTAATGGCGGCCACTAGGCTTGGGCCAGTGACAGTTTTATAAGAATAATATAAAAAATATGTCGATCGTCGTTAGTGTCAGTTTTCCATTATACGTTACCACGGGTTGGTGAAGGTGACAGCTTCACTTTTGTCAAGAGTAAACTCGAACCATCAACGAATTTAATAAATTAAATTATGTTGTTTTTTTATGAAGGATTTATGTAATTTTCTATAATTGTTTCTAATTTATTTTGCATGCACATGTAAAATAATGCCGATTTTATTTTATTTATTTTTAAAATTTTTTAATTGCTATGGAAATTTAAACAAAGTCAGAAATAGTAACAAGAAAACCTAACTTTAGATTTTCCTGCAGCTTCAATCCAACCTTCTTTTATTTTGAACTCATTGGAAAAACTTAAAAATTAAAAATACTCTACGTTTAATCTAAGAGTATAATGGAATTTAAATATCTAAATTATCTAAAACAATACACGTACATTTTTCTTCAAACAACAGCAACATACAAATTGACATGAAATTGAAACGGTTGTCCGAAATGTGGGTTGTGTTAAAGTTACTCGAATAAAATGTTTAGTAATAATAATAAAATAAAAGAAATCAATTTAACGTGAATGCTTTTCGCTTCGATATTTCAGGAACTTTAATTACAAAAATCATAGTTAGAAATTCAAACGTTTCAGTAAAAATTTATTGTCGATAAACATCGTAAACGAACATCACTATATTAGAGTCTAGAAATTTCTATGGAGACGAAAAGAAAACATTGAATTATAATACAAATAGTAACTAACTAAGAAATAGTAACGGTTATTTGCATTTTTAGTTACTATTTACTAAAAATGGAAATAGCCGGAATGTTATCTCACTGGTTTTAAAATTTTTGTTTTCACTCCAATTTTTACAAGGTGTAACGCTACAACTTGGCATTTTCACGTTTTACGAGAGATCTTTTATGTACAACGATCGCCACGTCACTGTGGCGATGTTTGTAGGCGTGTCAGGCGTGACACGAACCACGCCCCCATACCAAATCTCCCCTTTTTTCCTATATCCTATCCTATGGGTTCATATCCCACCGGGTCGATGAAAATTTTTCTGTGTGTTCTATCTTTATATTAATAATCACAATTATTTTATTATTTCGACAACACTAGTTTTGATGTCAAAATTCGATACTGGCGCGATCATTTCAGTTTTCATTACTAATTTGTGGGTGTTTACGTACTAAATGCGCGAACTGCGGAACACCATGGGCATTGTATAGACTACGCGAAAGAGGGCGATTTTGACCAATCATCAACGTGACTTGTTTCTGTAATCCACGGAAAGACGATTGATCGTCGTTCCCCCATGTACCCTTAATAATAATCATAATACGTACTATAGAAAGCTACCGTTTTGTTACTTCGCAAGTTGCCTATATAATCACACTGTGACTCCAAACAGCACAGTGTACGTATACACCAATTTTATAAACGCACTTTGTTGAGAGAGGTGATAACCGCTCCTTTCTTTGTGAACGCTAAGAAAAAAGCCTAACAAGACTCACAATATGTCATTATTATCTTAAGTACCATTAACAAAGAATGACCATATTAATAACAAATTAAATTAGGTATCAATAAAATACAATACACAATTGTGTATTGAATTTAAGTGGTATAAAAGATGGGCATTGGTGTGAGAAATTCTTTGTTGAATTCCATACTACTGTAATAAAAACACTAAATAACCGCAATAATTTATGTTTGATAATTACAATCAACGTAATTAATCTGGCCTTGGTTATGTCGCCACATTGACATGTCCAAGGCCTTGAAGCATTAAGTTATATACAGATTTGTAGTCACGTCAAATCCAAAGAAGTTCATTACGTACTCAAAAATTAACAACTTTTGCTTTACGACTTGATAATACTAAAAATATCCCCATATGTAAAACTTGGGTTCCGTCGCCTGTCTGAGTGAATCGAAATATATGAAGATAAAAAGTTTTACAAAAGTTGTTGGTTTCGATGTCCATAATAAACCCAGGATTTTGGCGTCCATTTCAAAGAAATTCTGTACGCTATGATTAGTACTTGCATACTACTTGTTAATCTATAAGGGATTGTTTGTTAATGTAGACAGAATCAGGGTTCGAAATTGTCAAGATATTTATTTGGTAACTATAATTATGATAATTTTCTGATAATTATTCAATTAGAAAAATCTTTGGAAAATGATTAGGATTGTGACATCTTTTCAGATTGTTATTTGACACGTTTGGATATGTCTTTGATACAAACAAATGTTACGTCATTGCTGGCAGTGGCGGATTTGCAGTCTTGGTCGCCCTAGGCCCCAGGCCATGTAATCAGTACCAGCCGCCCCTTTCTCAGCACACTTATACCTACTGGTAGACATATCTATATTATTTAGGGCAAATCCCCCACTGACTGCTGGCGATAGTATTTGTTGGTCCAATTAAATTTGTAAATATCAATATTGTCAAGGCATATTTATCAAGGTGTATTTATCACTTCGAACCTTGTATGACTAGCACGAACAAGCGCGACTTGCGCGAGATCGACATAATGCGCGATCTCTATTCTCTCTGCAAGAATAGCAGTATCTCGCGCTTCATGTCGCTCTCGCGCTAGTCGTGCTTGTTCGTGCTAGCCCTACTGGGCAGAATAGTGTGAGAAACAAAGTTAGTTTAAGTAAACAGTAATTTTCAGGTAAGTTTTTTGTTCTCAATTTTGGTGACAATTTATATTATTTAATTACTCGAATGTATCATCGTGAAGTATTGAAGAATATTTCAGGTTACCACACTCGAATTTCAAGTAATGCTTCATGATGATATTCTATAAATATTTAAATAATAATAATAATAACGCACACACTCAATATAATGTGGGCCATACAAATATTTTTCTCTCTGCGTGGCAGTCAATGGTGGCGGTTCGGCCACGGAGGCAGTTCATAAGTTCGTAAAAAGAAATTGTCACCAAAATTGAGTACAAAAAACTTACTTGAAAATTACCCTACTCATTAAAAGAATGCATTATTGATTTGATGATGTGTTTTAATTTTAAAAATGCTGTTTAACAGCACGAGATGTCATATTACATTGCAAGCGCCATATAAGACGCTGTTATTCGCAAATTTGTCTGTAGACTTTCGTGTGCCTTTCATACCTTATAATGGACCTTCTAGCGTGGTAGTGTTACCGTTTTAACAGGTACAAAATTGTCCAACAGGTCGTCTAGCGATGAAATGTCCTACCAGCATCAATAACCAGTTAGCACTATTGGAAGAGCTTCTCAAAAAAATTCCGGATGCTGTCCCAGAGATCAAGACTGCCCTGCGCCACTGTATCCTGGAAATGGCGGTGGCTTATAAAATCACACCTGAAAGTAGGTGAATTTTTGTTATTACGAAGCATCTACGTAACTATTTAGATTTTTTAATAATACTAAGTGATGGGACGAACAATGTAAAGAAAGTTATAAAACGGTTGCGTTGGTGTCCCTAATAATTGTGACGTCATTGTTTTAATCGGCATCATGGTGACAATCTAAAACTAAGTGCGAGCGCAAACCGGCGGACAGAAGGCAGAGGACATTAAATTTATCGATGTATATTTTATGCCAATCTGAGGCATTGAAGAGTACGCTAGAGAATACCGCGCCGGAAGGCATGGAACGTAATCCACGGGTATGAGGCTGGTTCCTCCGGTATGCGCCGGAATCCTCCAAGGTGCGCCAGGGACTTTACGAATACGTAGCCGCTAGTGGAATGAAATCAAATTCGCTCGACCGGTGGAATGTCGGCGGATGTCGCAGAATTCCAGTGGTATGCTCGCGGACGCTAGCGGCATAGTAAAATCCTTTATAATGCTCTCCCTGGTCGTTCGCCGGTTTGCGTTGGTTCTAACTAGGTGTGACAGCCTGTATTAAATTTTAACAGAATTTCTGGAAGCCCTTTTTAAAATAAAGAGCTTACAGAATATTCAAATAATGCTTGGGAATGAAAAGTAAAGTAATAGAAAAAAAGTAAAAGTAAAAAAAGAAAGTAAAAAAAGAAGGTAAAGGAATAGAAATTATGATATACAGGATTGTTTTTAACTAACCCAAAATCTCTTAACATGGCCATTCTGGAATTAAAAGTAACAAATCTTGCTCTCCATCTTTCACAAATTTGCACAATAATGTTTCGAACAAATCTGCATCAGCAGCTTCATCAAATTTTATGAGACGTCGAAGTAGAAATGTTTATGCGAATTTCCAAAAGTGGTAGAAAAATTGTTCTTTATTTTAATCATAAAATACCCTGTTTATTGATGCTTCGGCTAATGAAAAATTAATTGAACTAATATGAAAGCTTATGGAAAGAAACATAATTTTTTCGACTTGATTTTCCTTTCACTTGAATAACACCATTATAATGTTTAGTCAGTGTGATACGAAGTGCGAGTAGGAATCGATATTAAAGGTTCCGTACGAGCATTTTATAGCAAAAAGAATGTGATGTTTATGTTTTAAATTATTCATCAATTACCATAACAGTTTAATCATACTTCAACTATTTAGGTTCATGAAATTCGTACTGTTTAAATAGCGGGTTTTGTTTGGTTCCTAGTACTGAACTTTGCGACTCGTGAGTCCTATGAATTATTCACCTATTTCGTATGGTAAATTGAAATGAATGTTAAAACGAAATTGTTAACTTACAACAAAACTTTTTGGCCGTACGTAATTTCGTGTGCTTCTTGTATGGACTTCCGTGACCATTGTAGGTACGTCAAAGAAAAAATTTAAATGTTGCACATCGGCTTGGACATCGGGTTTTAGTAGCGCGGATTCGGGGAGATCATCGTGCCATTCCAAGACTCGATCGGCCATTTTTAATCTCGAGGGCTCATGCTCGTCGTGTTTATCGTGTTCATATTTGTCGTGGGAATGTTCATGGCGTTGGATATTTTCGCTGCTTGGGGCTTTTGTATATATATTTTTCTTTTTTGATTTTCTTCCTCTGGTTTTACTCTTTGAACCAGTTTTGGATATTTCATGTGTATTGGCCCGTGGAAGTGATGCCTCAGTTTTGAGATCCAGTAGTGCTGAATTTGGATAGTTATCGTCAATTATCTGTAGAGTTTCGTCTTCATCAGTATTCATAAAATGAATTGTATTATCCGTGTGTGGCTCTGTATGATTGCGGTTGTGCGTTTGCGGGTGATACGTCGGCGGCCGATTCCACCATTCTGCCAAATTTACGTAAGTCACTGGTTTCGTCATTATCTTTTTATCATTAAGTGCTTTGCAAAATTTGCAGTATTCACTTTCTCCTTTCAAGTTTGCCGGATTAAAAAAACTGTAATAACCGCGCCATCTAAAATAATCGTAATACAACTCTTTATCTTCTATAATGTCATTGATTTGTTGCGCTAGCCGTTTTGGTGGTAATTCTCTGGCATTTAAATATATTCCATCTGGCATAAATCTGCAAGTAACGATTTATTTTATTATTTATTATTCAGTACAGTATATTTCATTATTCAGTACTGCGTTACAAGCTCATTTTTCAAACATAAATTCGCACTCTTAGTGTAATAATACCAAATCTGCAAAATGACAACTTTTAAGGAGAGTGGTTTCAAAATTTGTCGAATCAAATTATGCCTAAATAAACATAGTAATAAAATATAATTTCACATGTACAGGTATTACTTTTATGACTTCCATGTGTTAAAAGTACTTTTTCACAACAAGGAGAGCCGGAATGGAGCGCGGCGGAACCGAATCTGGAGTACCGCATGTTGTATATATACCTTTATTTAGACATGTAAATAGCACAGTCAGGCAAAGAACGACGACAAACTCCCATATACATTTTTGTTGACATAATTTGTATGCGTCGGTTTATGAAAAATATGTGAAAATATAGTTTACATTCTTGAACAAATTTGGTTTTGAGTTTACTATTCTGAGAAGTCTGGAATTAAAGATATTCCAGTTTGAAGTTTTGGAGGTTATGTCTTATATAAAATGAATAAAATATATTCGGTGTTTTTTGTATCAAAATAAACTATAGAAATTTAAACAGAGTTATTCTTTAGATTTATATTAATAGAAGCTGAATGGTGCCGTGGCTTTGTGAAATGACGAAGTTCAGGGGAAATTATGTAATGGTTTGTAATTTATGTAATGGTATGGTCAAAAAGCATGAGGCTAAGCCATACAAAAGGAAATTGACATAAAACATACTGGTAACTCGGATACAAATTATTTTTTGTGAAACGTTAAGAAACTAAGAAACTGACATATCAATCCGGTTACATACTAATTACTCATTTGAGTTCCTTTTAAATGTGATTTTATTTCCACACTTAGACAGCCCTTTTTTTATTAGGGTGGCTTCATTTGGGGCCTATGAGGCCCCTCATCACTGCGACCATTAAATGATCTATTGTGATCACCACTAATTACAACTCGGAGCCAAGACCAATAGCATTAAGGAACTGAAGGATTTTCCAGGCTCCGACAGATTTTATGTCCTCTGGCCTACCTACCTACTGTCTGTATCTGTGCCTACCCAGTATGGAACTTCTTACCCCCATTAGAAGGCAGCACTGGGTGAGGAGATGCCCAGGAATTTCATTCGCCTCGTGGCAGAATCTACATTCTCTGTTTTCTCTCTGTCCAATATTTGACATTTGCTTGTTCAAGCTACAATGCCCTGTGTTCTGATGCCATTCCTGTCCAGTGACAGAGCTTCTCTACAGTGTTTTGCACTGAAGGCAGCTATCAGGGCTTTTGAATGCTCAAGACCCTTAGTCTGCAGCCACATGTCACGGGAGACGTGTGCGTTCTCGTTCAGAAAAGTGAGCTTTGCCGGGCTGTGTGCTATCCCTATAAAGGGCTCAAGTCCAGTGAAGGCCTCCCTAGCACCAGCCTTTGCCAGTACATCCGTTGCTTCATTACCCTCGATGTCAGAGTGACCAGGAACCCAACGTAGGATCACATTATTCCTTTCCCCGAGAGTATTCAGTATAGTTACGCAGTTCTCTACAATCCTCGAAGTTTGGGTGACTGAGGTTAGTGCATGCAGAGCGGCTTGACTATCTGAGCTTATATAAATATAATTGTTAACGTAGCCTCTCTTCAGGTTCAGCTCCAGACAAGCAATTATGGCGTATATTTCGGCTTGAAAGATAGAGGAGATGAGTCTGGGTCTCACGCCGTATATACCACAGCCTACGTTGGGTCCCATCTTGGACCCATCGGTATACCAAAGAAGGCTAGCGTCAGTCCAGGTGAGACTTTTAGTTTCCCAGTCTTCACTGGTTGGAAATTCTACCTGGTAGAGTTTCTTGAAGTTTTGGTTGGGAAGCATGACATCCGAAGTCATGCCCAGAACAGGATGTTCCAGAATTGAGTCCTGGGCCGATCTCAATGTCTGGGAGAGTCATCTAGTCCTTAACCTGGTGGAGAGCCTATACATGCTGTTACCGGCCTCTTTCTGTATGAATACATGCAGGGGAGTCAGATTCAGCAATGCTATTAGGGCCGTTCCAGGTGTAGTGGACATGGCTCCCGTTGCTAGCAGGCACGCGACAAGACTGTAGACTGCTGTAGAAACAAAGGAGGCATTTGTTACGATGTGCCTCACAATTGCCTTGTATAACTAGAGAGTCATCGTTGGTTTTAGACTCCAACGCTGTCCTGCCATACGACTACTGATACCTAAGGCCATCTTGGCGTTGTTGACCGTGTTAGCTATATCACAGTTCCACCTTAGGGTTTGATCTAAGGTTACCCCTAAGTATTTAACTTTACGGAAAAACTCACAGTCCTGCCACCAAGGATGGGTTCCTCTAGCTTGTCTAGTTTCCGCTTCCTAGTGAAGGGAATAATAGTTGTCTTTTCCGCATTAATAGATAGTTCGTTATCTTGACACCACGCAGAAATGGTGACAAGAGCCTCTTGCATAAGTGATGATGTAGTACTTTGGGAGTGCCCTCGAACTGTGATCACTAGGTCATCAGCATATCCCTGGGCGTCAATGTTCAGTTCAGCCAACCTATACAGGTCCTGTGCTGATCCACAGCAAGAGTCCAAAGGAGAGGAGAAATTACTCCACCTTGCGGGCAACCCCTTACTGTGGAGGCCACAGGAGGATAGACAGGCCTTTATAGTACAACTTGAAAAATTTAATGAATATATTTTATTCAATCTTGTAATTATGACATTTGCAGACGCTAAAGAATTCTTTTTAACAATGATTTCGCCATTGTTCTTTAGTATGACCAAAACAAATAAAAATTGGCTAATGATGAAAAGAATTTAACGTTAACATGTAATTATTACTACAGAGACTTTCGTATACTTGGATTATTCATATTTACTTTTATTTT